GTAAAATGGTCGGTAAGACGGGTGCGGGATCGGCCGGCGAACGAAGAGCGTGGGTGCGTACGAGAGGGGTCGAGAAAGAGCTGGAACGAGACGTGTGGTGGCCTGCTTGAACATTGGTATTGAAGAGTAGTTCAAAGAAAGAAGAAAAGCCAAAAGAGAGGAGAAAATAGATGCGGTAAGATCGAGTGGGCAGTGGTGCTCTTGTATTTAGTTTGAATGGGGCGTTGTGCCGCGCCTACCCTCTTTTTTCTTTTTTTCCTCTTTGAGCCCTCTTTCCCGTTTTGGCGCTTTCTCGTTGGCGGGGCCCCATCTGCCTCCAAGCATGCAGCACGCCCTCCGCACATCGGATTCCTTCGGCCGTGGATCACGCCTGCGTCTGTCCCAGCCGGCTTGTGAGACGTAACTACTCTTGAATCAACACTAACCCGCTGTAGAAAGTGACATCGCGAAGGATGTGTAGAATTGAGAAAGTTTAGTCATTGAGACGCTTCTGCGCCTCCTTTTGCGGCTGCTCTAGTACACCGCACAACCACTGAGACGTGAAATATCCTGGACTGCGGAGTATGTATTTCTTCACGCCCTCAACTCTATTTCGACCGTAGCAAATGGACTTGCCAATTTATCTTATGAGCATTGGCATCAATGGCTGTGCAACCGACTTGGAGCTTGACGGTTACACCTTCCGTAGCTTGGTCGATATTTCCGAATATGGCAATGTGCGGTTTGCCCCTCAGGTCCCTCTCCTGTCTTGTACCTTTGTACCTTTCTTATCGTTATCGCCACGAGCTTGTACCAAACTCTTTGTGCTCTGACTATCGGAAAGCCAAGTGTCCTTCTCAGCAATAAGACAAGGGGCGACAGAAACGCGGCATACGCATCGTACACCACCACTCTTGCTGTCTTGGCAACTACCTCACCCGGTTTTCGTGGTTCCAAGGCACAGACATGGAACGAACGGCAATTATGATGCAGCTCTACGCACGCCATCCTGTCCAACCTCAATCCCCAACCCACGAACCAGTGATGAATACAGCGCATTGCTTCGCATCTACAACAGCTGTCTGGGTCGTCTTTCAAGTTGCGTTGTAAAGCCGCACTTGAATCAAATGGCTGATTACCTCCTCAAAATTGGCTGTTCCTCGTTCCTGCCTCCTGTGCCGTGTCCCAACTCCCTGGCGACTTGCCATCCATTCGCGCCTTCTCCCTTGCTCCCACGGGTTACCCCTGATAGCCCTCCGTAGCTTCAACGTGCAGTGGATTACTCCGTACACGTAGCTTCTTCGTCCCCTGTTCCCATGGCCCATCGCGCCACAACACCCAATCGACTCACTGTGCGGCCACATTCGTGTTAGCCACAAGCTCATATTGCGCCCTACTTAGCCTCTCTGTCCGAGGACAACCAATCATATCAGCGGAAGTAGCCCCCTAAACTGGCTGATGGGAACGCGCCCACAAGCTGTCCTCTGGCAGTTCCGTGCCGCGTCCCCCTTTTGTCACCCTTTCTCAGGCGTGACGATGCTCCATTGACTACTCCACACCCCTTGGTTTTCTTTTCTTGGCCTCTGTTTTATCACGAGCTTAGGTGTCCTGCTCGCATCGGCTTCGAACTTCCGCTTCTATTTTCCTCATCACCGCCTTTGCCGCTTTGCTTGTTTCCGCGACTGCTCTCCCTTTCTTTTCTTCTCGTGTTTTTTCTATCTATTATTTTTCACCTTCTTCGTCTCTCCTTTACGACCATTACCTTTTTGTCCTTTTGTTTTTGCCCTCCTTTTTCATCGAACCATCACCCCCGTGTCCAGGAAGTCCATCAGCCGATTGCTGGCAAGCCTCCGTTGCCCAGCATGGCCACCTCGTCCACGCCACAGGGTACCCTGCGCCAGCGCAATGTCGCCGGCAGCGGCAAGAAGAAGGATGTCGCGTCCTCCGACTCGGATCTCGACACCATCATCAAGGAGAAGACTGGATCGGTCAAGCAGGATGCCCAGCGCGAGTATCAGGTCGCCGGTTTTCTCATCACCGCACTGGCTTTCTTGACACGTTTCTGGGGCATCAGCCATCCGGACGAAGTCGTCTTTGATGAGGTCCATTTCGGCAAGGTGAGCTTCTGAGCTTCTGAGCTTCTCTCGTCCTACCTCATACTCTGCTCAGCTAACATTTAAATCTCCAATAGTTCGCGTCGTACTACATCCAACGCACGTATTTCTTCGATGTCCACCCTCCCTTTGGCAAGCTCCTCTTCGCTTTCGTCGGTTGGCTCGTCGGCTACGATGGCCACTTCCACTTTGACAACATCGGTGACTCCTACATTAACAACAAGGTTCCTTACTTGGCCTTCCGCGCGCTGCCTGCCCTCCTGGGCTCGCTGACCGTCACCGTCACCTACCTGATTATGTGGGAGTCTGGCTACAGCCTGCCTGCCTGTATCCTCGCGGCCGGTCTCGTTCTGCTTGACAACGCCCACATTGGCCAGACCCGCCTAATCCTGCTCGACGCCACGCTCGTCTTTGCCATGGCCTGCAGCATTCTCTGCTACATCCGTTTCTACAAGTTGCGCCACGAGCCCTTCTCGCGCAAGTGGTGGAAGTGGCTCATCTTCACCGGTTTCGCCCTCTCCTGCGACATGTCGACCAAGTACATTGGTCTATTCGCCTTTGTGTCCATCGGCTCCGCCGTTTGCATCGACCTCTGGGACCTGCTCGACATCAAGAGACCCGGCGGTGCTCTGTCCCTTCCCGACTTTGCGCGTCACTTTGCCGCCCGCGCCTTTGGCCTGATCCTCATGCCCTTCCTTTTCTACCTCTTCTGGTTCCAAGTCCACTTTGCTGTCCTTAACCGCTCCGGCCCCGGCGACGACTTCATGTCTCCCGAGTTCCAGGAGACGCTGAGCGACAACGTCATGCTGGCAAACGCCATCACAATCAACTACTACGATACCCTGAGTATCATGCACAAAGAGACCAAGGCCTACCTCCACAGCCACCCCGACAAGTACCCCTTGCGCTACGATGACGGTCGTGTTTCCAGTCAGGGCCAGCAGGTCACCGGCTACCCGTACAATGACACCAACAACCACTGGCAGATCCTGCCTGCCGACGGCGACGAGAACACCCGCCGCGCTGTCCAGAACCACGACCTCGTCCGCCTCCGCCACCTCGTCACCGACACCATCCTTCTGTCTCACGACGTCGCCTCGCCCTACTACCCGACCAACCAGGAGTTCACCACCGCCTCGCTTGAGGACGCGTACGGTGATAGAGCCGCCGACACGCTCTTCGAGGTCCGTATCGAGAACGGCAAGCCCGGCCAGGAGTTCAAGAGCGTGTCAAGCCACTTCAAGTTCATCCACAACCCCAGCAAAGTGGCGATGTGGACCCACACCACGCCGCTGCCCGACTGGGGTCACAAGCAGCAGGAGATCAACGGCAACAAGCAGATCACCCCCAGCTCCAACATATGGCTCGTCGAGGACATCCCCTCGCTGCCGGTCGATGACGTGCGCCGCGCCAAAGTGGAGCGTAGCATCAAGACGCTGCCGTTCCTGCAGAAGTGGTTTGAGCTGCAGCGGTCCATGTTCTGGCACAACAACCAGCTCACGAGCAGCCATCCGTACGCGTCGCTGCCTTACCAGTGGCCGTTCTTGCTCCGCGGTGTCAGCTTTTGGACCCAGAACGACACGCGCCAGCAGATCTATTTCCTCGGCAACCCCATCGGCTGGTGGATCGCCAGCAGCTTGCTTGCCGTCTTTGCTGGCATCCTCGCTGCCGACCAGTTCTCGCTGCGCCGCGGCATGGACGCGCTCGACCACCGCACCCGCTCGCGCCTGTACAACTCGACCGGCTTCTTCTTCCTCGTCTGGGCCACGCACTACTTCCCATTCTACGTCATGGGTCGTCAGCTGTTCCTGCACCACTATCTGCCTGCCCACTTGGCGTCGACTCTCGTAGCCGGTGCCTTGATCGAATTCATCTTCACGTCGGATGCCGGCGAGCCGGAGCAGCCGACATACCAGCAGGTCAAGTCGGGCAAGAAGGCCGCGCCGAGCCCCAAGCGCCATGTTCTGGCCGGGGAGCGGTTCCGCGGCCAGAGCCTGATCGGCGCGTGGATTGCCTGCTTTGTCATCCTGGCTGTTGTGGCCGCGAGCTGGTACTTCTTCCTGCCGCTGACCTACGGCTACCCCGGCCTGACGGTCGACCAGGTGCTGAAGCGCAAGTGGCTCGGCTACGATCTTCACTTTGCCAAATAAGCACATTGATGACAATCGGCCACTGTCTGCCCCAGTGACACATAGGGCCACATATTCCGCGGCTTCCAGCAAGCCCCATCTCCCTTCCCTCTCATCCAGTTTGTTAACGCTTTGCGCGTAATGGAAAGCGGGCTGCGATGCGATTTTAACATTACCTTTATCACAACAAAAAAAATGTGGTCGAAATGTGCTTTTGATCTCGACGGAGCAATTTTACGAAACGGAAAAGGAGTAGGGAAAATGCTGTATACTTATTTGTGGTTTGTGTGTACATGTCAGATCGGTTCGTATTCCTTTGTGTTTGGTTTATACCGGAGAAGAATTCAAAAAACACCGCAGCGTTATTTATCTTGGATTCGCTTCCCTGACACCCAGACACACCTGTATTTCAGTCTTGTCGGGATGCTTTGGCTGGAGCCAGGATTTCTCACCTCACTGCACAATCACGCACAGCCTTTTGTTTCTTTTGTTCACGTCAATTTTTGGCAATATATTTTAGACGTCGGAAAGTAGAGAAAAATAAGTTTAATGATTCAAAACAATCTAAGTAAGGTGACGGTGTTCTCTTTGCTGTTTTGACGTCATCCTTTACCAGAAAGGAGGCACGGCATACATTCTTCGAGAAGACACTGCTTTTTTTTTTTTTTTGCTTCAGTTTCAATGTTGTGCCTCTCAACGTGCCGCATAAGAGTGTAAGTAGGTTGTTACCCGCAACTTCCTCTCTTTCTAGCATCTCTCACCTGTTGGTTATTTCAAATTAATCCTCGGCCAAGCATGCGATGGACAGTCGGCTCTTACCTGCACCCGTCCACAGTTGATGATGCCGGCAGCGCGGATTAAGAGCAATGTCGTAGCGGATGGCCGTGTCATTGTGTTCCTTGAGGTCCATGGTGTGGACAGAGGACGACGTAAGCGGTGACAGCGGCGTGCGACCGCATGCCTGCTGCTGGAGATGCTGAAGACGCATCCGGCTCGGAGAGCTCCGTAGCAGCGGCTGCCTGCTCTTGCGCATTAGCACCATCGGCAGCGTCGTCTGACGTGTAAACAGCGGCTCGCCACTGGCCAGCCAGCGGGCGACGAGGTCACGCTCGGCGACAGAGAAACGGGTGTTGCCGGAGAGCACACGCGGGTTGGAGCAAGGGACGAGAGCGGAGGGGACGTCGTGAAAGTTTGTGCGCAAGCTCTGGTAGTTGTGCTCGCGGGCCGCATGGTACCGCATGGGTCCGTCTATGGTTTGCAGGATGCCGTACCAGCTAAGTGAGTTGCAGCGGGCGACGCTGAGCAGGTCTTGGAAGTGCTTCCAGTCAGCTGGCGACGGCGATGACGACATGTGGAACGGCAGAGCCAAACGGCGGACGGCCGGGTGCTTCAGGACAAACAAAAGAGTCTGTGCTGCTGACCAGTCGACAGGGACAACAAGCAGGCGGCGAAGCGTCTGTAGCATGCTATGGCCTTGCCGCGAGTTGTACGGGATCAAGCGAAGCATGTGGGGAGCGACGCTCTCGGGCGACAAGGGGTGGGACGAAGACGATGACAGAAGTGTCTGTGACATCACCTGCTGTGCATGACGTCTTGAGTGCGTCTGGTCATAAGGACGGATGGTCCCGTTGGACAGTTCCGCCTTGATCGGTGCCGTTGGTGTCTCGCTCACTGAAGAGGAGGCAAGGACGGACTTGCGGAGGATGAGCTTCTGTGGAGGCCGATATGACGTGCCCAGGCTCTCGTCAAACGTTGCGGTGACGCGGAGGACCGGCAAAGTCTGTTGCAGCGGTGACCGTTGAACCGAAGGACGAGGCCAGGGCGTCACCACAGTCTTCGAGGCGGGAATGTATCGGGGACCGCTAGAGACGTTGGTGTTAGCGGCGTTGGTACAATTTCTGTTACCAAAGTTACCACCAGAGTCGCGCCGGGCAGCTAACGGAGAGGTCCTGTTGTTTCGTGTAAAGTTGACGGCAGCACGCGGCGTGCGCTTCACCGGTTGGACGTTGCCGAGGAGATGAGGTAGAGGGCGTTCGGTGGCGGGCGACCAGACAGAAGAGGTTGGAGAGACTGGAGAGAGTAGGGAAACCGAAGAAGCGGGAGAGGATGAGGGAGATGGAGAGGGACGTGACGGAAACTCACTGGATGTATCATTACTCTCAGTCTCGTCGGAATCAGCGTCAAGAGTGAGGAGCGGGTAACGCCGTTCCTTCGAGAGACGCGGAAGCGGCTTCACGTCAACAAACACCGTAGGTACAACATTCGGGCTGCGGCAGTACTTCGGCTCGGAGATCAACGGCGAATGTGGCGCGTGTTCCCAAGACAGCCTCAGTTGCGGCAGGGAAGACTCGACACCGGAAACGGAGGAACTGCTGCTGCGCAACCGAAGGTTATGGACGGGTGGCATTCTTGTAAGAGAGGATCGCGATGACGAGACGGTGAGGGGCGGCGACGAAGACGACCGTGACAATGAGTCGCGGTTGGTCGTGCCTGCCGTTCGTGTCTGTATACCGATGCCAAGAACTGGCGGAGAGGCAGGAACGACAGGCAGGGTAGGAGGATCTGAGACCGCGAAGTCAGGGAAGAAAGGAGGGAACGGGGAGAGGGGAGAGACTGACGAGATAGAAGAAAGGGAACCGGAGGACGAAGGAGGGCGGGCGTCAAGCTCGACAACCAAGGAGCCGCCATCAATTCCGTCGTTCTCGTTGGAGAACTCCAAGTCGCAAGACTCATGCATCCACGATGGCTTCCGCTCGTCCTGTTCCAGCTCCAGCCGCTGCAGTCGCTTCAGCCGCCGCTTAACACGATGAGAGCCGGTCGTGTTTTTGCATTTTCTGCACACGAGACGATGGAGGAAGGAAAAGACTGACATCTGGGAAGAAGTGATGGACCACTCAGATATCCCCGTGCCAGCGCGGTGATATCTGAAGTGTGGGGTGGGGGGAAACAGGTAAAGGAAAGAGACACGAAAAAAAAAGAAAAGAAAGAGAAACGAGAGAAACGAGAGAAAGCAGCTGCAATAGAAATGCCGTGCCAAATTCAAGAAACGCGAGAAAGCAAAAAGATATCGGTAACGACAGGAATGGATTAGACCACCCAACGACTAGGAAAACACGGAGATAGACCGAACAAAAACGAAGGAAATTTTTTTGAAAGAGAAGAGAAAAAAACAGAAATCAAACCGAAACAAAAGAACGGGGTCAAGGAGAAGCGATGATGAGTAGGGCAATCAACAGGCAGAACTGGTGGAATGGACAGAACTTTCTGTCGAATGCGCGCCTCTTGGTAGTTTCAACAAAACAAAATAAAAAGAGCGAGATGGTTGAGGTATAAAAAGAAGAAGGAGAACAACGATGATGTAGAAGCCAGTTTTAAATTGGCGTACGATACCGTTGTAGTCTTCGCCAAACAGCAGATCGCAGATCAGAGCTGTTCAGGACCTGTTAGTGTTGTTCATTGTCCAAACGAACAAGGCTAGTTTGCTGCATCTCTTGCTTCAATAAAAAAATGGGGTCGTGAACAGGATGCATGTGCATTTCGCGGGACGGACAAAGCAGTTGAAACGTGAAAGAACAATGTGGTGAACAATGGTTTCTGAAAGTTGTGGCTGTGGCCCAACTGACGCCAGTATCGCGAACAAAGAACTTCGCGCGGTTGTTTTGCTTTGTTTACCTTTTTGGATGGATTCACAGTCCTACTCTCTTGCGCATCTTCCGCACGTTTTCTTTTTTCCCTTTTTTCAGTTTATGCTCCTTTCAACAAGCGCATTGTTGAAACCCTGCAGATAAATTTGGTTCCTGACATTTGGCTCTCTTTCATGGACATCTCTCTGCCTTTGATGGTTTCCCGTTTCTCGCCGTCGCCCAAGGACAACATACAATATATTTAGACCTCCTGCCGCCCTGTTCACCGTAAAATGAAAATATCTCTTGAACAACATTACCTTCTAAATAAAAAGTCATTCACCAGTTCTTCTGAACCACATATCTGACCCGAAACAAGCACAATAAGCTATTCACCAGCACAAACACCTCCTTTCACCCATCCGGTCCTTTCTATATATAAAGATGTGCGAGATCACTTGCAATCTATATCGAGAATGCAGTCACCACAACCGCATCCTTTCACTCTGTCCCGCCAAGCAATCAAAGCGCCTCCAGCAGTACAACCAGTATCGACGCCGCCAGGAGCGGCAGCTTGCCCAAGCTTATTCTGAAAAGCCCGCCAACCCCAGCTTCTGGAGTTGCTTTTGCTCGTCGTCTACAGAAAACGATTCCATACCACGCCCACTTCTCCGCCCCGCTACAGAGTTCGTCTATACCACAGTCGACCCGCCCAAGATTGCCACGCAGTACTGCTGCCGCAAAAGCAAGATCAGTCAGAAGACATCTACATACTGGAGCGCCTGTCCAGACTGCACCCGTGCAAAGAAGGCCCAAGCCCGCGCCCGCGCCCGAGTCCGCTATCCAGCTCGATCCCAGGATCATCCTATGCAGCATTCCCAGCAACGTCCTTATCAGCTTCCTCCCACCCGTACCCAACACACAAGATACTAACAGGAACAGGCACGGTCCTGGCAACACCGCCGCCATGGGTTTCGGCGATCTCTTTCGTTCGTCCAAGGGCCCCAAGCGTCCGTCAAGCTTCCGCATGCCCACCGATTGCGTTCCCTCGTCGTCGTCCGCCAGCCGTCCTCACACCTCGGCGTCGTCCAAGTTGGGCCGCAGGGGGGCGATTAAGTCCGACCACTCGTCGTCTGGCCATTGCGCTGGTCGCATTCAGAATACTCTGTGGGTCCGTCCCGGTACTGGTTACCGTCAAGTGCAGCCCGCGGATATGGCCAGTGGTATTCCCCCTGCTCATATTCCGATGCCCTCTTCCTCGTCTCACAGGCCCAGAGTTTCGCCCCGCGGTCCTCGTCAGCCGGATCCGCTTTTGGCTGGCAATGAGGCTTATCCGGTCGACTTGAGCAGCGTATCAGGCGGCTTCGGTGTTCCGTTTGCGTCTACCAAACCCGTCCCCGTTTCCCATGTCCCTGTTCATACTCCTACTTACGTCGATTACCATGCTCCTGCACCCACTCCTGCGTATGTATATGGTCCTCTCCCTCCAGTACCTTTGTCGCGCTCCTCTGGTCATCATCCTCGGACATCCACGGGCTCGTCCTCATACGCGTCTTCCGGTTACCCCTCGTCGTCTTCTAGCTACTACTCTTCCTCTAACACGTCTTATCCTCCTTCTAGCCACACCTCTTCGTCCCGTTCCCAGGCGTCGTCGTCCCACCGGCCTTCTCATAAGCACCACTCCAAGCGCGAAGCCCAGTACGAACCCGAGCGCGACACCTACGAAGTTTCGCCTCTAGACGCAGCGTTCCCTCCGGAGGTTCAGCGAGTGCTGGATCGAGGCTTCTCGTCGGCCGCATCTCATGGCGTCTCTCGGAACGTGTCACGGGTCAGCACGCGGGGTCCTTCGCGGAACCCGTCTACGGCGGCATCGTCATCGTCGCACAGTTTTGCGGCGCGCGCTGCGGAGGCGCAGTTTGCGTTTGACATCGGCGGCTATGGTCCGCACACCAACCACTTTGTGAGTCCTCGCTACCAGCCTTCCTACACCAGCAACTCCACGGGCGCCTATTACAACGAACGTGGCCTATTTTAAGTCTAAGCTAACGTGATGTTGAAAAGACCTCTTTCTAGTGCCCGCAACGTTCTCATCGCAGGTATGTCCTGTACCGCTCGTTTATTCCATCTTCCTTTTGTTGTTGTCATTCTTTTGCATACTCGTCTCGTTTGTCTTTTTCTCATTTTTCTTTCCTATTTTCGGTACTTTTGGCCGGATTTTGGCAAAATAATAATTGCTTAAAAATGATAATTAAAATACCATCAAAGCCAAAACAGCTGTAACAACCATGTCTAGAAGTGATAACCAATCGTTGTAAATTCATCACCAAATTGGAATTGATACAGAATCACTACAGTTCAACTGAGCCGCCGCAGCCCAATCAACAAGCACAAAGGCCCTCAATGCTTGCTGCTGAAATATTGCCGTACATCCACAGCCATTGTTTGTAGTGAGGTTGACTACGATGACTAATCTCACTTACAGGGGAAGGAACGACCCAAGCTGGGCACCTACTGCGCCTAGCCAATTGTGACCAATTGGTGCATGCTGAACGAACATCGACGTTCCCTTGAGCGAGGAAGGCAAGAACGACCTGTGCCCATTTCGCACTGTTTCTTCTGCCAGTTTCTCCACCACTAGCAAAGAGCGTATGCCGCTCGTACAAAACATGGCTGTCGCAGTTGCCTCAGCGCTCGAGCGGCTGCATCTGGAGCTCCTTGACCTCGTCGTCGACGAGCTCGTCTCCGTGTCCGACATCAGCGCCCTGCGCCTGACCTGCCGCACACTGGCCGCACGCGTCGCTCAGAGTCCGGCCCTGCGACCATATGTGGCCCGCAAGACTGTCGAGCTGACGGTGCGGGATCTCGAGACACTGGTGGCCATGACGGAGTCAGATTGTCCAGTCGGCCACCAACTGCAGCACCTGACGCTCAAGGGCATCGCCCGCAACAAGACGGCCGTGTACATGAGCAAATACAGCGACCTGCCGCCACCGAGCCATCCGGAGGAGGACCCAGAGCAGGACCAGGACACACTGCTGCGAAATGTGCCCGAAGAGGACTCGGACGACCACAAGCGACTGTTGACGGCTGCCCTGTCGAACATCCGCAAATATGGACGGCTTGGTGGCCTGGCCTCTTTGACGCTGATAATCGGGCCCAGCACGAAGCCGCGGGCCATTTATATTGTGCCGCGGCACAAGCGAGGAGCAGGAACGTTTCCAGAGGAAGTCGACGCCGGAATAGGAGGTGGAGGTGGTCGTGGCAGCGAGAGCGACCCCGGCGGTGATGGCGATGGAGACAACGACGGCGACTATGTGGCTCCGTACGAGCTGCCGTACCGCCCGTCATGGCGTTCTGTCTGGGACGCCGCCGAGAGCACGTTCGGCGTGGCCATGCATGCTCTGACGACGGCACAACTTCCCGTGGCCGACGAGCTTGATATCTTCCATAGCATTGTCGGTGTTGCGCTGCCGTTTGACGCGTTTCTGTCCCTCACATGCGACCCAGCCGCCGTCCCCAGGCCTATTTTTTCATCCCTCAAACGCCTCAAAGTTCACTTGTCTCTGCGGCACCGCTCCGCCGCCGAAGAGCGCAATGTGACTGCCGCCGAAGTTGCCCGAGAGGAGCGTGAGGTCGCCACTGACGAGTTCAACGAGAACCTCATTATCTCGCAACTGCAGGCCCAATTCGAAGCGGCGCACCGTGCACAGCTGCACGCCGAATGGGCTGCTGCTCGCCGCGTGCTTGAGACCATCACGGCGCCTTCCGAACTGGCGCGCGTCATGCCGGCACTCGAAGCTGTGAGCGTGGACTGGTACCACATAGGACGCAACATGATCATACCTACAGAAAAAGAGCTGGCATCTTCGTCATCATCATCACCACTGCAAAAGTCCACATCATCGGCTCCCGACGGCCCAGACGACAAGAACACACGGCCATTGCCTCGGCTACATGCACTCAGCTTGCATGGCATCCGCCTCGACGGTGCAGAGTTTTTAAAGTTTATCGACACAGCGCGGCCTGAATACCTCTCCTTGTGCTACCCGCAATTCATACCAAGCTCTTTTGAGCCGGTGCTGCGCTACCTGACTGACCCTGACCTGCGCGACTCCGCCAAGTCCCAAGCCATAAAGGACCTGGATGCGCGGTTGGTCAACCTTCGTCCGTCGCCCGTACGCCGCTTCAAGCTCGACGACATTATGGACGGCTACGCCCTCGTGCACTACAATGTGCCGGGACGGCCCAAGTTCCGCTATCTACACATGCCGGACCTGGGACCCTGCACTCTGGTGCGACCCGACCCCAGTCTCGACACAACTGCGCCCATGACACAAGCGGTGGCGGCAGCATTGCCATCGGTGACGCCGCCCGACTCTCCGGACGCCGTAGACTTTGATCATCAAGAGGAAGAGGGGGCAGTCTTACAGCCGCCGCCAGCACGGCCACTGGCCGTGGCAGCGGCTACAGGCCCGACCACAGACGACCCACCTGGTGGTGTCCGAATGGTGCGCCCGCACACGCGGCCCTTGGGCTCCGGCAGCCGCTGGCGCTGGGCGCGCCAGAATGGCAACGTCTACGGTCCACCACGTGCCCGCTACGACCTTCAGCAGCTCAACTCGGGCATGGTGCCGAAGCCACACTCCTTGACGCGGATGTTCGGGGACATCCGGGCAGCTGCCGGGATGACGGACCGGCTGGAACGGAGGGAGGCAGCAGTGGATATGCAAGCTGCGGAAGTGGTATAGGTGACAGAAGCATTTGCGGACCAGCTGGCACAGGGGCAAGCACAGGAGGAGCAGTCATCATAAAATGGCCGGTTGCTCCCTCACTGTGATGATATTATGGGCTCATTGTGTACAATATTATGATATACTTCGATGTACTAACTACGGCTGCAGCAATCTACCAAGTTCACACTACCAAACTCTATGCCCACGAACTCTTTGTTTCTCTCGCGATGCCTCTCTCGAAACCGGCGTTGCACAAAACCCCCAGCGGTGCCAAGACAAGCCAAGTTCAGTAGGCACCACAGTTTTGGCTTTTTGACATTTTTCGTTCAACTTGCACACGTCGTCTTTTTGGCCTTGTTCCTGGCCGCAGGCGCTAACAAAAGGAAGCAGAGAGCCGATGGACGGGCGGACAAGAAAACTGTGCAGCCTTTAGCAGGCTCCTACATTTCAACACTTATTTTCGGGCAGGCATCTCTGTTTCGGCGAGCCAAGGTGCAAATGTGTCAACATCACGAAGGGCAGTGACACGAACGATACGAGCGGGTGGTCCAAAATAGGAGTAATACAAAATACACGTTGCAAAAAGGCGGACGCACGCACGTGGAGTCCGAAAAGAACGATGGGGTCTTTGGACCAGGGCCCCAGAGAGAATGAGGCTCTTTTGCATCTTCTCGGCATGGGTGGAGACGATGGAACTCAAAAAAATTAAAAATTAAGAAACTCGATTGTGATTGATGGGGTGCCTCGTGGGTGTCAGCAAAAACAACAAGCAACATTCTCGCCCTGGTGAGGTCAAAAGATAGAAACAAACGGAAAGTCGTGGACCGAGGCAAGAATAAAGAGAAGGCTAAAATAAAAGCAAAATGTTACCTCGTAAGTAGTACGTCGCACTGCTCCCTCACTTGCACCCTTATGCATCCCAGGATGCGGCAAGGCGTGCGTTGTTGGGACTTGAAACAGACGGGACGCCTGGAAACTGGAGGGATACGGGAGTTTGGGGGGACTCTCCCTGCCGCTTCTTCGTGTTTGTTCTCGGTAGCTTTGAATCTATGCCTCTGGCAGTTGTTTCGGGCATCTTATTGGGCACGAAGAAGCAGATACGAGGTTCTTGTTTATTTATGGCATTGTTGTACTCTGTATTGTCCTTCTTTGATTAGAATTTACGAGAAAAGAGCGCCAGAAGTCGAAACGAAGAGTCTCTTGTCTCGAAATGGATGCCGTCAGGAGCATTAACATCGACATCACGAAATCAAAAGCGGCACTCGTCTCCACAACGCCCCATATCCGCACCCTTGTTGATTGTTGATAGTATCGAGCCGCCCTCTCTGTTTCTCGCCGAATCCGAAAAGGCGGACATTGTGCTCGAAAATTGTGTTTGCCTTGCATGATGCAGATTGTGGCTGACAGGGGTGTGATACTGCACCTGAACGCTGCCGGCCTGTCAAAACGCAGCATCCGGCCCAGCTCTCCACAAAAGCGTCAAAACGCGCCGCAAACACCCTCCAAGCCAGTTCTCGCTACTGCAGCCCGCAACCCCAAAAGCCACTTCAAGCCACCTTGAGCCCCATCAAGACCCGTCGGGATGCGTCAAGACGCCCCTCTTTTCCGCGATTCCCAGTGATTTGCATCAACCCTCCGTGTTAGCGACACCGCCAATCCAGGCACCACTTTAAAAAGCACTTTATGGAGAAAGAGACTCAGTTCGTAGGCTGCCGGATTAACTGGCGTCTGATTTGGCACCCAGGGGGAAATAGGGCGTTTTGAACGCGGTATACCCACAAACGAAGCCTTTTCCTGTGGTTCTTTTTCCTTCTGCACCTGCGGACTCTTTACGAGTATCTTTACAAAGTTTCAGGGGTCCAAATAAGCGGCCAATGAAGAAACCGTATTGCATAGTGCAGAAGCGGCCCAATAAACAGAAACTCGTGATCCAGGACAAAAATGTAAAGAGTGGTTAAGAAGGCGGAGGAGCCACTTTTAGTTGGTGCAGTACTTTGACTAGCCGCCCAAAACAACAGGACCCGTCAGTGGGCTGCTCAGAGTCCATCAGGATGTAAAGGAGAGGGTGGGCAGACGTGGCATTTTCCGCACGCATTGACTGGTGGTAAATGGAGGATGATAGGCGGATATGGAGATCAAAGAAACACACAAATTATGCTGGCATATTGACTCGGAGGATTGTAGAAGGCAGACCATCGACAAAGATTCTCAATGTGCACGCGTTCACGGCTCTGAAAGTCTGGACACATAGGTTGTCGCTCACTGTGTTGTTTGGGTATCATAGGCCGTTGTCTGTTGGATATCGTTGGTCATTTGGGCCGTAAATTGCCATGTATTTGGTTGTTTTCCTTTCTGGCGACAACACAAGCCCTGGCCGTTCTTCGGCAATTGCACAGTCCCGTTTCGGTGTTCAATATGATGATCGGACCTTTTCTCGCGAAAGATTGTCGTTTGCCCCCTTGCGTCCTGATATTGATTGTCCGAATCCATTTTCTTTTTTATGGATGTTGAATTACGTCGTCACTTTTATGGGTGCAACGTTCATCCTCACTCTGTGATGAGCAATTGACAACCGAACACTGAACGTTGCAAGGTCTGTGCTGTGATACGCAGGAATACACACCGAACTCTTTGCCGAACCAACCCCTGGTCAACCGTTGGATGGAGGGCAACACAGGCTGAAAAAACGTTCGGTTCGGCGGATCGATACAACAAGATATCCTGAGAATCCTGCTGGCTAGAGTGTATGCGGTTTTTCGGTGCTGGGGCACTTTGATACGACACGATGGCATCGTCGATGGCCCGTGAAGCTGACCAGTCAGGGCATGCTCCGGGTTGCAGCGATTCCATTGCATTCTTTCAGCCTCTCATTTTGTCAGGATACGAAACAAGCACGAGCGCGCCCATTGACTTCTTGACTTGTCAGTTTTGGCTTGTGACATATGTTTTGCGTTTTGTGTTGGTCTCTTTTTTGTTCTCTGTGTTTCTGTCAAACAGATGCCAGCACGCCGAGTGGCTAATGCAGGGGTGCTGAGTGCATGCAGGATGGGATGGGATACGACGCGACAAATGGGTTCTTTTGTTGTTCGTTGACTGCTTGGGACGCAGCCTGCTGTCTGGACGGAAACGACAGGGCGAGAAGCGAGTGAAAATTGAGTGCTGCACTGGACAAGGCGGAGGGTGTTAAGAGACAGGAGACAAGAAAGACTGTGGACAAGGATGGCGGGCCAGGCCAGACTCCAGCAAAAAGGTTAAATTCGACACGATTTTGCACTGACAGTGGACATGCCGACGTAGGTCTTTGCCTATTCCGGACAGCAGTGCGAAAGTGACTGAGAGAAGAAATAAGGCAGCAGGGAAAAACAAAAGCAATCATGGAAAGCAGTTATTTTGATTGACATCGAGGCGGCGTTCGAAATGAAAATGAAAATACAGAACAGACAGATCCGATGTATCAGATCGGGTAGGAGAGGGAAGAAACGGCAGGCGATAGCAGGTTTATCTCGTATTACTCCGTAAAGCCAGAATAACGGGAGCAGTCGGGAGACAGACAGGGCCACATGACCAGTCCGGGGGAATATCGTCGATGCACCTGCAATTGAGGCTGTGGCGCTCCATCACCAGACTCACACGGCAACCAACAGAGCAGCCAAAGGACACGGCAATCTATTGGCAATATCTGCTTGCAGATAAACAGAGAAATACAACACCCCCACGCGATCAACCACCAGGGAGAGCCATGGTCCATCCGTCCCGTTTTGTAGTTGTTTGCAGTTGGGCTCGGTCTGGAGGGTCCTCAGACACTGAAAGCAAGTCATCGTAATACGGCGCATGTTGAAGTCTTACTCTGGAAACCAAAACAAGGACCGGATCAGCCAATCAAAAAGAGCCAAAGCTGTCAAAAGGGGGCGTTTTATGGTGACAAGAACGAAAGAGCCCAAACGGATACCCGTCCGCGGTTAGTCATATCTGCATGAAAGAGTCAGCGCTGGGCCACCCGCTATGCAGGTGCTTTAGGATTCGGTGTCTCGTCAGCGAGCCGGAGTGTGCAGACACGTCGCCTCAAGACGCCACGGCTAGATATTCCGAAAGTCGAAACCGTCTAACCAAACTGGCCGAGATGCTACTTTGGCTTTGCTTTGAGCGTGGCCTTGTTAGACAGGGCTCGAGGTCATGGTCGAGACGAGAAAAGATAGGGACCGACTAAAAGGGAACACGTTGTCGTTTGCGGCCAGATCCCAGCTCGTATTACGGAGAGTTATGGTCGTGTGGCACAACAGACAACAAAAGACACAAAAGGGGAGAAAATGAAAACACGGAGACTAAACAGCAATGCGAGAACGACAGGTGCGAAGGGAAGGCGGACACAAGCTTAAGCCCGCAGGTGCCCATTGATGCGTTCCGGGATTGGCGGCTCGCGGTGTGCATTTGTCATGCGGACAACAAAGAAAAGGCAGGCGCGAAGGGACAGGCGACAGAGAGAAGGTGAGAGAAAAGCAGGGAAGGAGCCGCTCAAACAGAGAGAAGACGGTTGGGGTCATGCAACAGCGACCTTCAACAGCCAGAGATGCGCGCCAAACAGTCAAACGGACAGGGGCCCTTTTAGCGCTGCCAGGCCCCAGGGCCCCCTAGCAATCAACGGCCGAAGAATACGGTTGCCTCTCTTGCTGGGTAGGAAAGCCGTGCAGCCTCCATTCCGCACTGTCCCTGGCTCACCAATTCCGTCCACCAGACTCAATCCCCGTCCTTTCCGTCATCCGCGGCGCAGTCAGCCTGGCGATCCTCAGCCCAAAAGGAGTTCGAGAGGGACACACCAACGGGAGAGGGCCCGCCAAAAGGTTGCCCAACCTGAGGTCGCGTATCCATTTTGATGTTAGCTTCTCCTGTCTTTTGTTTCTGCCTATCTACAACATACATCGTACTGTGGTAAAAGCCCGTTTCTAGAGTGGGTGCGCGTGGAATTGTATTGCTGGACACTCAAATTGCGTTTTTCCAGCGCTCAGAATCTGCCTCTGCTGAATGAGGCACCCCCATTGCTGTACTATTGTATTCTTCTTGTCGTTTTATCTCTCTGCCTTGGACCATGCTCACCGAGCTTGTTCCAGACGAGACAAGCGAGAATTGCACGCCCAAGCGTCGTGAGACGAATGTCCTCGCCAAACACCACAGGCCCACAACTCACACTGTCCGCACTGTACAAGCAAAGTGCGCCGTCCCTTCCGTTTTTGTTTCTTGCTCGCCAAACGCAGAGCGTTAGAAAAGGGAACGCCGGACCCACTCATTCTCTCTTGCCCAGTCCCAAGGATTCTGCCATGGAGGCGTAGTCGCTGTGCGCTAGTCCCTTTTAGGAACAATTTTAGGCAACCACGTTCAGCCCGCCCCCATATGTGGTCCATCGTCCGCTCGCTTTTCCCAACACGCGCCGGCCTCATTTCTTCCCTTTTCCTCTTCCCACTTTCTGTCAACCTCCTGACGTCCGACGTCCAACTTCCAACAGCATCTCCTCAGGCACCGTCGTAGCGAGGCCAACATCCCCTGGCAGCGAATCCGTGCCAGCAAGCGAACAACGACGAGAACCGACCGCAGTTTGCTTCGTTGTTTTCTGTCTTTTACTTGGCCTCATATCTCCTTCGGCCACATCTGTCTCGCCATTCTTCCTGCCTTTCTGCCTTCTTTTTCCTGTCTCATCTGTCCAGCGTCATTCACTTCACGCGTCGTGCATTGCATCGGCCGCTTGCCCTGCTCAACCATCGCGAACAAACCGCTGCGCTTCCATTTTCCAGCCTTCATCCAATCTGAAAGGACAGCACACTTGCTGTCGCGAACCCATCGCTGTGATCCACCATTCCGTTATCCTCGCATGCTCTCGGGACCCATCCGAGTCCGTAGGACCAACGACCACGAAGCCCAAAGTCCTAGAGATTCCGAGTTAAAGTAAGAACTGCTCGCCGCCTCTACACTTTCTTATCCGTTCTCCCACGTTTCCATCCTGTCATCCATCCCTAATAGGTCCTGTCCTGTCCTGTGTCTTTTTTGCACTTTTCTCATTCCAACTCGTCTGGCCGTCTGGTCCGTTCTCTTCCTCGTCCGTATCCCTCGCCGTCACTTCCTGCCCTAGCGTGAACCCAGACCGCAAGCCGCCGCCTTGTGACTCACAGGAGTCACTGTCGCCGTCTGTTCTCGTCTTCCATTCGTCTCTTGTGCTCCATCTGCTCCATCAAACAGCCTCTTAGTTTTCAGTCATTGCATCACGTCCCGATGGCCTAAGCCAAAGCAAGGCTTGTCTCGTCATTCACTTTTCTTTCTCGTCTCTCCAGTGCCAAGGTTGTATCCGACACGAGTCGCTAACCACAAGAAACAGTCTGCGCATCAATTCTCTCCTGTCTCTCCTTCCTTGACCCCACTCAACCAAGGACAAAGAGCCATAGATCCGCAGGTAACAGGACTCTCTTCAGCCTTCTCTGAAAGCGTCCTCCCCGCACACAACACTGCATTTTTATCATTTATTATAAACTTGGCTTCTACCCGCCTCAGTCCCCCCCACTCCTATCCTTCATCATGTCTTCATCATCGCCCACCCTTTCCACCAACCCTCGTCGTGTCCCGGTGACTCGCATCGGCTCTCCTGGCTCTGGTCATGGCCTGAGCCTTAAAACCAACAACATGCTCCGCAAAGGCGCTACTTTCCACTCACCTACCAGCCCTGTCTCCGACATCGACGCTCCCTTCTGCCCTCCGCAGCTGGCTCGTTCGCAATCCAACCTGGACGACGTCGTCGACGCCCACCGCCGCCGCGTCGCTCTCACTCTTGACAGCATCGGCAAGACCCTTGCCGGCACCCACATCTCGTCACCCAAGAAGAACGGCATCAACGCCGTCTTCCTCGACAACGACAGCGACTGCGTCCCTAAGGGCCTGCTTGATCACGCCCTCGGATCATCCCTTGCGCCTGCCGAGCAGCCGCGCCGTGTTCTCCAGCCGCGCCCTGTAAACCGTCGCCTTTCTAACAACCACCACGCCTCTGACAGTGGCCTCGGCTCGTCCATCGCCTCGTTGTCTGGTAAGAAGCAGCAGCAGCAGCAGCAGACTGGTAAGAGCACCGCTGCCGCCACGAAACGCGCTGCTGCGCCCGTCCAGGCCAAGGCCGTCACCCGCTCCGCCGCCGCCGCTTCCAGCGAGAAGCCTGCTGGTCTGAGCGCCCGTGCTACCAACCGCATCTACGAGCACACTGTCAAGCCTCTGCTTGCCAAGCCCGCATACAAAGCTTTCCACCCCATCCTGCTCGAGTGCACCACCAAGATCAACAAGCGTGATATTGTCTGCCTGCGGGATCTCGAGAAGACGATTCTCTTCCTCGCTCCGGTAAGTGACGACCTCCGTAACGATACGGGCGTCTGGGGAAATACTTATCGGTTTTTGTGTATAAAGGAGAGGACCAAGGTCGCCAAGCTCTATCTCGACTTCTGTCTGGAGTCTGTTCGTTGCCTCCAGACCACCGTCGAGTACTTGTCCGAACGCGAGCAGACCCGTCCTGCCGACCTGCCCTACACCGCCGGTTACTTTATCGACCTCGTCGACCAGATCCACCACTACGCCCAACAACTTGCTGACGCCAAGGCCAACGAGAAGGCCGGCTCTGTCGACATGGATTTCCACAGGTACAACCTCCGGTCTACAGCCACCATCAACCCAATGCACCTTACTCTTGCTAACCCTGATGCCCCACACTCCAGCTCTGATGAGATCAAGCTGCACGGCGGCATTGCCGTGAACGGCCGCCCCGCCGAGCTTGTCCGCATCAGCCGCGACGGCCGCGCCGTGTCCATTGCCACCGGCCTCCCTGTCGAGCTCGAGGAGGACATGAAGGACACCATCCGCATTAAGCGTTCCGCCAGCCAGGAGCTGGAGGACGAGGAGGAGATCATGCGCTCCATGGCTCGCCGTAAGAAGAATGCCCCGCCTGAGGAGTACGCACCCAAGATGTGCAGTGTACCTGGCTGCACCAAGGAGTTCAAGCGCCCCTGCGACCTGACCAAGCACGAGAAGACCCACTCGCGCCCTTGGAAGTGCCCCCTCGAGTCCTGCAAGTACCACGAGTACGGCTGGCCCACCGAGAAGGAGCGTGACCGCCACATGAACGACAAGCACTCCGACAACCCCCCCATGTACGAGTGCCTGTTCAAGCCCTGCACGTACAAGTCCAAGCGTGACTCCAACCGCAAGCAGCACATGGAGAAGACCCACGGCTGGACGTACGTCCGCACCAAGACCAATGGAAGCAGCAAAACCGCCACTGCCGCTGGCGCTGCCCAGGTCGGTGCCTCACCGTCTATCAAAGACGGCAACCTGATCCAAGGTTCGTCCTCGTCGGTGCGCGGTAGCCTGGATGCCTCGAGCACCACTCTGCCTACCCCGCAGTTGGTCAACCTGCCGACGCCCGTGAGCGCCCGCAGCCCCAACGTGACTACCCCCAACTACGATGAGTTCTCTGCGCCTCTGTTCAGCAACATTGAGTTCCCGACATGCGCGCCCGGCGACATCCTGGCCAGCGACCTGCTTCCCGCAGAGCTCGACGATCTCGACTTCTCGCCGTTGCCGATGGATCTGAATGACGCCTCTGCTTACGCGTCGCCGTCTAACGCTTCGAGCCTCGACAACAACTCTGCCTACCAGGACATTGGCCAGGACATGTCCATGTATGAGGACATCTACAGCGCACCCATGCAGCTGCCGACGCCTGAGCCCATCTTTGCACCCAACTACGCCAACAAGGAGCTGCTTGACCAGTTCATGGCCCTGCAGGCCCCTGAGCTGTGCGCTCCCATGGTCACCCCGGCCCAGCAGCAGCAGATGGCTCGCCTGCAGATGATGCATCAGCAGATGCAGCAGCAGGAGCGTCAGAACCAGCAGAACCAGCAGCTGGCTCAGAACACTCTGATGCCCCATATCTCGCCCCTCGGCGAGGCCAACGCCATGCTGTTCACACCAGACTCGATTCTGGACGACGAGGGTTTTGTCGATTACTCCGACGACGCCACCAAGAAGGGCACGGACTTTATTCTGTTCCCTAACGCCGAGATGGCCACTCTGCCGCAGACCACTATCAAGCACGACCCCGTGTTTGACACTCTGTTCGAGGAGATGACGCCTAGTCTGGCCGCTGGCTTCTCGCAACCGACCTCGCAGATCTATACCAACATGGAATGGTAAACCTTGAGCCGTAACCTCGAGTATTGCCACATCATGTATTTATATTTTTTGTTCTTCATTTTCGCCCCTCCATCATTGTTCCACTACACACCATCATCTTCCCTCGATCGTCGCATTCGACTCCTCCCTATTTCCACGTATGCTTTTTGACCCCTTTTGTTTCACGGCCGGGTTTTGTTTGTAGCGCAGCGTATCAGAGACATCACTGCCCTAATATGGGCGGGTCTTATTGTCAACAGTTTTTTATGTTTTGTTGGTCATTTTCATTATTTTCTTCGCTTCCATCTGAGTGATGTGTTTGTTTTATGACAGTTATGATTTCACCAAGAGGAGGAAACAAAGTATACTTTACACTTGTCCAAGACAAAGACCTTTTTTTCTCTTGCCTGCTTTTCTATTTTTTTCCTTATTCCCTAATATGGGTGTGACAACCTTGTTCGAGAACAATGGGAGAAACAACAAAAAAACTTGCAAAACGAAAAAGACGCCTCCAAAAAAGAACGCCAACGGTACCTCGATTGACTGTTAAGGGATCATACTGGTTTTTTTCTTCTCTTCTGCTCTGGCTTGTCTTGCTTATTCTGTTTCGTTCTTGGCTTTACTTTGCTGCCTTGTCTGCTATCTACGTCATGGGACTCCTGTACTTTTTCCAGTCTAGTTGGTGTCTTTCTTGTACTACAACAACCATTTCTGTTTCTACCACATTCACACTTATGGGAGTTTTATGACAAATGGAACCTGATCTTTTTTCTCTTGACTGCAGATTTAGAGAAACAAAGTGATCATGAAAGTTGTATGTGCAAAGAGTTACAGAGAGCGACAAGTACTGGCAAAGTGTCGAGAACGCAAAATTTAGTTACGTCACATCACCTCCCTACACAAAAACTGACAAAAGGTCAATGCCTCCCCGCGGCTTTTCACTTTTCTGCCCCTTTGTTAGATAGGAACACCCATAACTACAAAAATGAACAAAAACATTATATAGAAAAAGCAGGCACGCAAAAAAATTGTCTTTTTTGTTTTGAATGAAATAATGAATTTACGATCGAATTCCATGTATTCTCTTCAATCTCTTGTTAACGGAGTACAACATATGGGATGCCTATTAAAAATGGGGCATTCCAGCAATGTCACGTGCGGCAGGCCCTGAGCAACAAAACTGGCGAGTTTTTTCTCGCAGACACTTTTTTTACGACCGCCGTTCCCCTCGTACCAACTTTTTCCACCCGAGGAGCTCGACGCCTTTTTCGACCCCACGATACAAGACGCGACCACGTGTGAATAGAGGAAGCTTTTTTTTCGAACTTTCGACAATCCTTTCCCCTCGACTTGTTTTCCAGCGAAAAAGAATCACTCCATGTGCCCGATGGCCGCCTCTCCTTGCCGATGCTCCTTCGGACGACGAGAACCTTGATTTGGGATAAACTAGAGGGTTCACAAGACCCTTTTCTCGGCCAAGAACACGCAAACACGGCGGCATAGGAACGCTTATTTCAAATGCTATCCAACACAGGGCCCGCTCTCTGACGAGGCTGCTCCCTTGCTATTCATCATTCCTTTAATCGGGGAGATCTCGCGGTTGTCACGGGGGACCTGCGAATGAAACCATGGCACCGTTCATCTCATCTTAGTGAACAACTCATCGCCTGGACGCCTCGATGCCTCGACGCCTTTTTCTTGTTTTATGGGTTGCATGTTTGCCGTGGCGTGGCACATCCCGTGCCTCCGTCTCGATCCACGTGGTAAGCCTCCATCCGAGCCCATCCGACCCCTCTCTCTTCTCTCGCCGCTTGTTGTCAATCTACATGATGAGGTGCACGTCAAAGAACTGCACATACCCCTTAAAATAATCTAGGAAGAGCCGTCTGAGACTGTCCCTGCAGGGATTTCTTTGGCAAAGGGAAAGAACAAAACCACAAAGCTGTAACCAACTCTGGGGCCTCCTTCTTCTCCGTCTTTGCTCCTGCCATTAGGCTCGTTTACCTGCTAGGTTTTCTTCTCTTTCTCTCCCTTTTCTTCCCCTTGATCCCTGCTCTTTTTCCATCTGACCTTTCTCTTGATTTTCCTCTCCTGTGTCTCCTTTGGGATTGATACGGAGGGGATGCTTGAGGAGGATCCGATTGACGGAGCGGGTCGAGCGAGGGGCGGCAGAGGACAGCGAGGGAGAAGGCATGGCCTAGCAGGCGAGTAGGGAGGGTAGTGCTTTGAAATTGGGGTTTCTGAGACGATCATGACAATAACACTCGAGAGAGATGCTGCACTGTTCACGGCATGTTTTTTGTTTTGTTTTGTTTCAATATGCTAACAGTTGAAGGTTTCCTACTTGCATAGGATCACACCGGTTTATCTCAGCACGAACATCTAAAGAGAATGGCTGCTCTCTTGAATACCTGTACTGTACCAAGCGGTAGAGGATGAACCGGTATATCTGCGGTATGCAGCCAATCGTTGCCTTGGTCAATCGCAATGCATAACAGGTAAGGTCGTAGCACGTAAGCAGGGGAGTAGTCCGTATGGGCGCAAAGAACCAAGTCTCTTCCTGGCAATACGGAAGGTTCACAAATAGCACTGTCTTACTTGATTGCAAAAAAAATTGAGTTTCAGTCGCCTAGGAGACAAATCCATAAAATATATATGCAATGAAAGAAGCAATGAAATTCGTCAACCGTGATACGATCGTGTATACGATCATGCTCGTCAACTCCATAAACTCCTTTGACGTATCTACTCGCTGTCGCTATCAAATACCAGCCGGCGGCCTCGACGAACCCCGGCCGGCCGTCTCGTGACAGCTTTGTCCCCTCCATTGAGACCATCGTCGTCATCGCGGACTACGTCGCTCGAATCGTCCTCGCCGCTGAGAATAAACTCGGCACTCTTCGGCGGTGGTCCAGTCATATTGGCGGGCGCGCTTTTCTTTGGAGCCGCCTTTGACTTGGCAGTGGTGGTCTTCTTTTGTGGTTTCATTTTCGTAGTTGCAGCTGGTGCTTGCTGGTTGGCACGTCCGTGCCGCTCGCTAAAGACTCCGTCGTCGTCGTCGTCGTCGTCGTCGTCATCGTCGTCACTATTGCCACGCGTTTGGGAGAGGCGAATGGGCATCTCAACCGATCCATTTGGATTTGCTTTGGACTTGGTCTTGTTCGTAGTACGCCTTGTCGCATCGGTCTTTTTACGAGCGGCGGTGACAGCAGGTGGGGAGCTCGCCATAGGCGATGATGTGAAGACCACCGCGGACCTCCGGCTCTTGGAGACCAGCCGCCGCCCGCCACCTGTGGCTCGGCTGCGCCGTCGTGGTTCAAAGCCGTCGTCGCTGTCGTCATCAGTGATGGCATGGAGAGGCTCTTGCAGGCTCGATGTCGGCGCCACTTCAACCTCATCGTTGTCGTCGACGATAAAGTCGACCAGATCGCCGCCGCTGTCCGATCCATCTGTCTCGTAGTTGTCGCTGGTTCGCATGCAATCGTCGCCGCGTTCCTCTAGACGACCGTAGCTGACAGCGCCACCACGGCTGCCCCGGCCTCCACGAGCGCGTCCTCGTCCACGGCCCCGTCCTCGTCCACCACCAAAGTAATCAACCTCCTCCTTTTCGGCAGCATCAGCTTCCTCCGTAATGGCCGCAAATCCACCTCCACCGCCACCGCCACCGCCACGAGCGCCACCACGCGCGCGCACAACTCTCGCTCCACGGCCGCGACCACGTCCACGGCGTATACCGCGCAGGCTCGCGCCAGTGCCTGCCGGCTGCGAGAAGCGGATAATATACTTGTCCTTGTCACTCTCCGGGGACGGTGTTAGACCTGTTGGCCCATGGGGACTTGGTTGGCGAGGCGGCTCCCTCGGATAGACTGGTTCCGGGCGTTGCGGTTGTGGCGTTGGCTCCCAAGACAGCACCTCCTCGGGCGTCGGTTCTCGACGTGGTGGAGGAGGCGTTGGTTCCCAAGAGATTGGTTCGTCGTCAGGGAAAGGTTTGCGAGGAAGCGGTTCTAGAGGCTTGGGAAAGTTGGGCAGTGCGGGTTCCTCCAGTAGATCTGACATGTCGGACATGTCGGGAATGTCAGAGAACTCCTGGTTCGAAGGAACCTTTGGAAGCTCGGGCTTTTCTGCTTCTGCAAAAATTTGTGACTCTCCTTGTGGCCCTGCTGTAGTCCGCTGCAATGGAGCGGACTTGGCGGTGGCTGCCTGTGGGATTTCGGGGAATGTCGACATCGCCTGGATGTCTTCATCAAAAGCAGCATCGCCTATGTCTTCCAACATGTTTCCTATCTCGTTTTCCATTTCTTTTTCCAATTCCTGCTTTCGATCCGCCTCGCCAGTCTCTTGTACCACATCCGGCATGGCCATATCCATGACCATGCCAAGGTCTGAATCGCCGCCCAAATCATCGTCTAGTTCCTTGTCATGCAGTTCCTCGTCCAGCTGATCGAGAATATCAAACGACCTCCTCTTACGGGTGCTGCTACTCGGTACCGGGTCCACTTTGGCGGCAACTCTGTTCGGTTCAGGGTCGGAATCATCGCTACCGTCGGGAAAGTCTTCGAGGATCCGCTGCACGGTCGGCTTGACTGGATAAGCCGAGGCCGGGGTAGCACGGCCATACATTGGTAGCGGTGCACGGGTCGCCGGAACACGCCTCTCGCCGGCACGTTTTGAGGTAAACATCCGTCGATTCGATGTCGGGAAATCATCTTCGCTAGATTCGTCTTTCACAGACGCATCGTCTCGTCCACCACCACGACCACCACCACCGAAGCTATATGATTGAATTTGAGAGCTTCGCTGGCGTGTCATGCCCTTCATAGCTGGCTTAAAACTGCTGCTGCTGCTCTTTTTCTTGGACCATTGTGATGCTCCGTCGTCCTCATCCTCCTCGCCGTAGCCGTATTCCTTCTTGATAGCGGGTTGATTGTTTATGTACCCTGCTGGTGTAAGCCTTGCCCGTTCCGTCATCGTGGATACAGGTCCGACGCGACGGCGTTTAGCCAGGGGCTCCATGGACAATGGCAGCGTGGTCGCAGTAGCAGTCGGTTTGGTCTGTGCTTGTGCCTGGGTCCGGGATTTGGCTGGTGGTGGGTGTGCAAACACCCGTTCCTCCTCCGACTCGCCAGATTCGTCCGAATTGGGAGCAAACTTTGGCACCCTATGGCGCATATAGGACTGGCCGTGGGACCTAGGCCTGTCATAGGAACCTTCCACTAGTCGGCCCATGAGTCGAACGTTGCGTCGAGTAAAGGCACTATGGTGCAGGTACTTTGTCGGGCGCAGCTTTTGTAGGGGTTTGGGGTCAGAGGTGTCGATGACCGGTATGTTGTCATGTGGTCCAAATGCCGATGCGAACGAGGAGTTACTGTTGAAGCCGCCACTCTTATCGGCGCCTCTCAAATCGGTCCCCGGGCCAGGAATGTCAACCAAAAATTCCGTCTCAGCTACTTCTGGTACCGCCAGTCTCGGCGCAGCTGCTTTTTGCCTTACTTTGAAGCCCAGCTTTGTCTGGCCATCTTCTCTCACAGTCGATGCTGTAACAAATCCTGTCTCTGCGTCGTCCGGCATTTGGAACACCTTTTTCGACGCCTTGGGTAACTTTCCGCGTGCTTTTCTGGGTTCCGGGAGGGACATGTCCTGTGTGTTTTCGATAGGGATTTCGACATGGCGTTTGTCGACTTCTGGCTTAATGTCCCGAGGGACAATTCGCTCCGAAAGGTCAAACCGGAAGTTAAATCTTGACCCTTCACTGACAAGCTTTTGCATGTTGGAGTATTTGTCTTGCGCTTCGGCAAACTTGTCCTCTTCCTTGCCTTTCATGAGCAGTAGCAATACCCGACCAGCGCGCTTCCGGCCAGTCCGCCCCATGCGCTGCAGCATGCGAATTGGCGATGACGAGGCATCATAGCAGATAATCAGGTCGACTTGACCAATGTCTAGACCCTCCTCACCAATGGACGTCGCCACGAGGACATTGAACTCGCCGGATTTGAATCTCTTAATTGCTTCAATCTGGTCTTTCTGCTTCATGCCAGCGCTGCGTTTGGAGTCGGCCTGGCCAACAAAAATCGATGCCTTGACGTTGGGGATGCCGCGATTGAGATTCCGCACAATGTCTTCGGCACTGTCGCGAAACTCGTTGAAGACAATGGCCCGCGTGTTGGATCCGGGCGGCTGGTCTTTGAAGTGGTCGAACAGCTGCTCCTTGAGAAAGGTGAGCTTGGGGTGGCTCTCAAAGCCGTCCTCTTTCATCCACCGTTCAATGGTCATCATCATCTCCTGGAAGTCCGGGTCACGGAAGAATGCCTTTCGATTCTTGCTACCCTTCTCGTCCTTTTCAGTCTCGGCTCGAAGCTCAGCCAGGTTGTCGTAGCAGGCACGGATGCCGTGGAAGTTCAAGAGCTTGATCGAGTGCGCCAGGGTCTTGAGCAACGCAAAGGTCGCCATAATCATAAATTTTGTGCCTTGGTTCAGGTGCCGTGCTGGCCCGGCCGCCCATTCTCTCTGGGCCTTGAGAAGAGTAAACGTGTTGAGGGACATTGGGTCCCGGCCGAACCAAATGCCTTGCTGGGTGAGTCGGTCACAGAACGGCTTCAGTGCCTTGGAGAACAGATCCTGCACACACTTCATCTCGGTCGACGGCTCCATCGTAAGTCGTTCGATGTCTCGGTTATGGACGTACTGGCGAATGTCGATGGAGTCCTCCGTGCGAATCTCAACATTGGACATGCCGAGGTTGTCAATGACTTCCTGGACCGCCTCGACGGAGGACCCAGGCGTCGCCGTTAGTGCCAACACACGGAAACTGTTAGTGAATCTGCGCATAAAGCCAATGACCTTTACATACGCATAGTCGCCGGTCGCGCGATGGGCTTCGTCAATGACCAAAAGGGCAATAGACTTGGGGTCGGCGTAGCCTTTGGACAGGTCGTTTTGTAGCGTCTGTGGGGTCATGAAGAACAAACGCTTGCTCGCCCATTCAGCCTCTCGTAATGCGGGCGGCGTCTCGCCCGTCAAGAGCGTCGTATCTGACCGGGGAATGCCGGCTATGTTCAGGCAGGCGTCGACTTGTTGCGAGACAAGGGGCTTTGTTGGTGCCACGAAAATCATTTTCGCATCCGTTGTCCAGCGGTAGAAGTTGAGGATGACTGTGGCCGCAATAAACGTCTTGCCTAGGCCAGTCGGAAGCGCCACTAGCGTGTTGTTGAAGAGGCTGTTCTTCACGATGCTGAATTGGTAGTCGCGGATAGCACCCAGGTTCGTCGGGTAGACCCAGGTCTTCATGGCCTCCTTGTCAATCTTGTGGTGCGTGGGTTTCTCGGCTGGCATGTCCGATACAAAAGCATGGTTGTGGTGTACAGCCTGCGATGCTTCAGCCTGGAGCGTATCGCCATACAACGTGGTCTGTCTGAACGAGTGTTGGCCCGATAGCCTCAGCGGATTTCTTGCACTAGAGATGATCGAGCGCTGTGAGTGTGAGCTGGCGCCAGTATAGCTGGCAAACGAGCTGTCAAAAGCATCTGAAGGCAGATCGTCCAGCTCGGCGGACAGGTCGATGGGCACTTGGGCCGTTGATTGCCGGAAATTGTTATTCTGTAAAGGGTCAGCACACTCATAAATCTAGTATGCGCATATGTGGTCCTAGTGTACCTGAATCTGAGGCCCGCCTCTTGACAAATTGCTGTCTATCGGCTGGGGCCGAGGAGGGGCTGCCATCGTCACTTCGGCTGTGTGTGGTCGGAAGGTGGATACGACCGGTCGCCCGGCATTCGGAGCAGTGCTCCGGGAGCTGATAGATGTTCTTGGTGTCGTTCGTGCCGTGGACACAGTCGAGGGCGTCGTGGCTGCTACCATTGGCCTCGATGAGGTCGACAGTCGACTTGATTGCGTCGTCTCATAGGCGAGCATGAGGTCCTCGTCGGCTACATCCCCGCCAAACAAATCTTCGTCGTCGTCCATCTCGAATCACTGACACAGCCCTGCCCTCAGGTTGGGATGTCATTGACGTAGATGGTGTGCTGGCTGCTCAACTGTTGTTTGTCGGTGGTATTGGCAATGAGGTACAGCAAACAGCCGTATGGAGCAGAGTGACGCGCTATCCGCGTTCAGGCGCTCAGTACGCGGATGCGCCGAGTTCCCCTCTGTCGCCAAGTCACGTGCAGAACAAAATAGCGGGAGGCGGAGGCAGGAACAATGTTCAAATACATACAATACACCTGCTGCCTGCGGAGGCCTTGCAGTGGGTCTTTATCCAGCCAATCATAGTGCTGTCTCCATTCTCCCAAGCCAAACTCTTCGCTCTTCCCGCATGCGGCATTCATCGAACTTCCTAGATGCGAGGTCATTTTGAAAAACAAAAAACAAAGAGCCTTTCTCTTTCTTCAACTAAACGTGTCTCCCTTGTCGCCAGCGCCGATAGGGACTACAAATTCGGCGGTACCCCTCATCACCCTCCGAATTCTCGTTTCCCACATAGTCATTCTATCCTACACTTTCACAGATTTCAGCGGCGACCCTCTCGCCACATTTCCATCTCTCACGATCTCTTCACCATATCAACAACGAGTCGCCACCACCTCTCTATTATCGAAGACCGACGTACAAACAACGCGTCGTCTTTATCCCCCCATTCTTCCGACTTGTCCCCTTCTCCAATCCATAACCCCTATTTCTACCGACTCTCCCAACCGACTTGAACCTGTATCGACGCAATGGCTCCTCCTACCGGTCCTCGCGCAGACGCGCGCACCACGAGAAGCTCTACGCGCAACAACACCACGAGTGGCAACACTGGGGGCGGCATTCGGAAGCGGGGCGGTGCTCCCAAGACGGATCGCAACGGCGATGTGATCATGGGCAACAACCCGGCTACGAAGACGGATGGCCGCAAGTCTAGCCAGTCAACACGAGGCGGGCGGGGAGGCTCACGCGCCGTCGCCTCTGCTGAACAAAAAATCAAGAGGCATTTGGGAGTTTCGGGCGAGGCGAGTCTGGCTAAGCGAATTTCTGAGCTCCCACGGAAGAAGTTCAGCAACATGGCCAACCGTAAAGTGTTCAAGATCGTCGGCCTGCAACAAAGCAAGGCTGCGGGAAATGCCGACCGTGGCGAGCGTGGTCTTCTTGACTTCATCGAGCGGAAATCAGCAAACATGGGGCGTGGACTCAAGATTATCAAGGTATGTATTTGAAACTGACGTGTATAATAACTCTTACGTGGATTCTCTCTTTGATGGGAAAGCAATCTTCTCTCCAGATCTACGGACCTACCTTGGCCAACACATCACCACCGGAGGGCGACGTTTGTCCACATTGTTTTCAACTAGCCAGCTAACACGACTACGTCAGTCGCGACTCGACAACGACTTTGTTCTCACAGTCATGGTGGACCAGGAGGATGCGGAGGAGCTCATGAAGCTCAACAACTTTGTCTTTGCGGGCGCAAAGCTTACCGTGGCTGAGGACCCTCAAGGATGGCCCGGCCAGGCTGCACCGAAGCCCAAGCTGTCCCAGGAGACACTAGAGCGGAAGTCACAGCTACAGCAGGTGCTTGCCACCCGCTACGATGCTGGAGCCAAGCTCCTCAACCTCTCTCGACTTGGCGAGGACCCTGTTCTTATTGGGATGGGATACCTGGAAGACAAAGACCGCGCAGAGAAGACATTCAAGGTTCTAATGGCGATTTGTGACGAGACTTTCCCCACAGCCGACGCCAAGCGTGACGCAGTGGTCAGTGTATCGCTTGCCAACAACAACATTGACTGGGTCGGTCAAGTCTTCGATCTCGCCGAAACCTTTCCCGACATCAAGAACCTGGACCTCAGCGGGAACCAGTTCAAACAACTCAAGAGCCTGAATCGTTGGAGAGGCCGCTTCCGCAACCTGGAAACGCTTCTCATGATTGGTAGCCCCGTGGAAACCGAGGACCCCAACTACAAAACGGAGCTCATGTCGTGGTTCCCGAAGCTCATGAACCTGAGCAATGTCCAAGTCCGGACGCCAGAACAGGTTGCGGCGGAGGAAGCTGCCAAGGCTGCAGCACGTCCCATCCCCATCCCACAGTTCGGCTCCGACTTCCGCGACGGCAGCGGCATTTCTGAGACCTTCTTGACGCAATTTATCCAACTTTACGACACGGACAGAGCGCAGGTGGCGTCCATCTTTTACGATGATGCCAGTCAGTTCTCTCTGTCTGTCACCACACAGACACCTCGCGACAACAGCACGCCCGTGTTACCCTGGGCAGCGTACCTGCGCTATTCCCGGAATCTTACTAAGATTACCAGTCGGAGTGCGCGCGTTCAACGGCTCGTCCGCGGCGCTGCCATGATCAAGGAGCTGTGGAACACGCTCCCCCAGACACGCCACCCCAACTTGACGACGGAGCTACACAAGTATATTGTCGACTGCCATCCGCTTCCAGGCATCATGGACCCAACAGGCCAGAGTGCGACGGGCGTGGATGGTCTCTTGCTCACCATCCATGGTGAGTTTGAAGAAATCGATCCAACAACCAGCAAACAGGGCAAGCGGAGCTTTACGCGGACGTTCGTTCTTGGCCCAGCTGCACCGGGTGGCCAGGCCGCCTTCCGCGTCGTCAGCGACATGCTCTCTTTGCGGGCACACCAACCCATTCCCGACCAATCGTCTCAGGCCTCGTCCGAGCAGGACCAAAAGCAGAAGATGATCTCGGAGCTGTCCAAGGTGACAAACATGACGCCTCAATACTCGGAGATGTGTCTCGCAGAAGCGGCGTGGAACTATGACGGCGCCGTTGCGAAGTTCCAGGAATTGAGAGTAAGTTTATTTTGTCTCGTCTCGTCGTTACCGTTCTCGCATCTACAGTCTCGCTAACGATTTCGTCGCAGCCCAACCTTGGTCCTGAAGTATTCATGAGCCCGATGGTCTAGGGACCCGGCATGATACTGCAACAGGTCATGCCATGAAGCATGCCATATCCTACCACAAACTACACGGGTATACATGATGGCCATGCATTCTACTTGAAATGGTAGCTATCATGCAACCACTGACAATACAAAACACAACATTTACTGGAGAATACGGGACGAATTACGAAAACTGTTTCCTTTGGACAGATCAGACTGTTGGTGCTTTTTTATGCGCAACCTCGGACGAGTTCGGCTATCTAAAGAATGACAGGTTGGCTGCGCGGAGTTATTCGGAAGGAAACCAACATGGATACGGTTTTTTATCTGCTTTTGCTTTTCCTTTTTTATATTCTTGTCCTGTATTATTGGAAGGCCGGGAGTTTGTTTTTCTTTTCTGTTTCCCGTGGCGGGCAGTCAGTATTGTTTGTTTCTGCTGCATCGAGGCGGTCTCACGGCTGGGTCATTGTTATGTGTCTTTTTTTGCGTCTGGACCTATTTTTAACGATACCAACCAACGCGCTTCTTCTTTTTTCTCCTTGTAAGCCAAATCCTCATATAGCAATGCCGAGAAGGATGCATCTGTATTTTGAAGAAAAATTCTCCGAGCAGCGCAAACGAGGACCGCAGTACTTGGCATTCCGCAGATGGAGTGTCACGGACGACCAGCGAGCACTGGGAATGAAAACAGCTGGGAAGGGAGGGACGGAGACCATAGACATGAGATCCAACAGAGAGGCGCTTCTGCTATACACAGTGATTGCGTGCCTCGCCCATGTCGAGGACCGCATCCTACCGCCGAGTGGAAGGCCATGGAAGAAAAAACCGACAGAAAACATACCATGTCTGAACCGGACGTTGACCCCACTCCTGTCGAACTTTCGAGCCGCCCGTGTATGCCCGTCTCGTTGTCGTGTGATAACGGGCGGGTGATGATGATGACTGGCACGGGGACCTCACTCTTATCCCATGCAGATTTGCTAGAATAGAATGAAAGTCTTTCCTATACTAATTTAGAAATATACCTGCGTGAGAAGGTCTCTTTTTTCATATCTGTATCCTTATTTATTGATTTTCACGGCGGTATAAATCGTCTATGCTTGATCTTCCTCTTCGTATTTCTTCCTCTTTTTTTCTACCCTCCCTCCTCCCCCTTCTCACACCCTCAATTCACACCACTCCATAGGGCTGCAATCCTTTGGCCCCCAGCTACAGATGCCGATCTGTCAAAGATGATGAAATGCCGCCGAGCAGCCAACATCACAGGTTAGATGCTGTTCAATGTGACGTAGATGCCGCCCAAGGACGGATGCAAATGCGGAGGGCAAGGTGCGTTCGTTAGTCGTTTTGGCCAATCAGGTGTTGCAGACCTGCATCGATGCTCCGGTTCGCTGCACCTGCATGTCGTTTCCAACCACTCAGGTAAGCCAAACAAAGCCGCGCGCGAAATTAAAGGTCGTCAGCAGCCATGGCAGCCAAAGAAGTGAAAGCAGACAGACCTGATCAAGAGGCCAAATTCAAAACCTTTTGTCGGTCTTCTACAGTGTCGCACAGGGCTTTCAAAGGTGGCTTTGGCGGCCCTTTAATAAGAATGTAATATGTCGGTCAAGGCGTTATGCATAAAGATGCAATTCGACGTTAAGATCAACGAGGACTAGCAAAACCAGGCGAATCGCGAGCCACTGATACCCCCAGCGCTACGCTCGAGAAGGTGAGCAACAAATGGTATGTGTTGTACGTGAGCCATGTTTCGCCTTGTGCTTGCGAGCAAGGTTCCAGTTCATGATCGTCATATCCAGCTCGAGATGCCGAATGGTTGTGCCCCTCGTAGATTGAACAGAGGAGAACAACTTCGGGGTCATACTGGCAGCACTCACGAGAGGCGTGATGGCATCAAGTGCTGTCATGTTGTTGTGGTTAAACATTGTCAAAGTTGCTGAACGCGCATCATGTCCTTCGGTTTGCCTGAACCGCAAATCGTGTGTCTGTACCGTGCAATTGTCACCTGGGCGTTTTCCAACCGCCGTCGATACGTCGATACTAAATACATTTTATCAATGGCTGGGTGGATGC